CGTCGACACGCCGGGACAAATAGAGGTATTTGTGTGGAGCGCGTCGGGGAGTATTTTACTGGAAACGCTGGCTTCATCGTTCCCGACTGTTATTGCATATGTGATCGATACCCCACGGACGAGTGCGACAAGTACCTTCATGAGCAATATGCTATACGCATGCAGTATTCTGTACAAGACGAAATTACCTATGATTTTGGTATTCAATAAGACAGATGTCAAAGATGCGGAGTTTGCAAAGAAGTGGATGACGGATTTCGAAGCATTTCAGGCTGCGCTATGTCAGGAAGAGGAGGCTGGCGCGTTTGGTGGTGTGGAAGGAGGTGGGGTAGGAGGAATGGGAGGGGGAAGTGGCTATATGGGCTCTTTTCTGAATAGTATGAGTCTAATGCTGGAGGAATTTTATCGGCATTTGAGTCTGGTCGGGGTCAGTTCTATGACAGGAGATGGAATCGACGAGTTCTTCGAGGCGGTGGAGGAAAAGCGGAAGGAATTTGAGAGGGATTATAAGCCTGAGTTGGAGAAGAAAATGAGGGAGAGGGAGGAGGCGAAGGAGGCGAGGAGGGAGGTTGAACTGGGGAAGTTGCTAAAGGATATGAATGTCTCTGGTTCTAGTCGCCCTGATGGTGCGGGCGGGTCAATGAAAATCGAGGAGCCGGATACTGTTTCTGAAGCGGAAGAAGAAGAGGATCCGGATGAATATGAAGACGTGAAGCCTGGTAACGGTGACATGGGTCTCGGAGATGATGGTGGCCTTGAGGAGAGATATAAGCATGCGCTGGAAGAGTCTGCACCAAAGCCCTCAAAACAGGAGCAAGATGTTGCAAGATATCTACGGTCCAGCAATATTGGGTAAGGGTATTCTTTGCTTTCGTGGCTGGTGAGTCTGATTGCATTTCTTGATGTATCATGCTTTCTTGCCCTTTTATTATCCGGTGTCCTTAGGGCAAGCTGAGCTTCATCGCAGCTGTGTACGATACTGCTTATACCAATTGAAGGAGGTTAATCCAACCATCTTTGAAAGTCATTTTGGCAATTATGTTTAGTTCATTATAATGGGTGGGAAATGGAAATCGATCATAATAGAGTAATAGAGGTATTTCCCCCCCCCCCCCCCCCCCTCAAAGGTTGGTATTTCTACAGTTCTTCCCATTTGAACAAGTTAGTTACCTTGTGGAGATTGCGCAGAGCACAAATATTCGTGCATGTTGGTCAACAGAGGTCAGGGGTGTCTGGGAAGCTTGACTTAATTAATCCAGTGAGATCGTTACCCATAATTCGTTTCCAATATATGGATGTGTGATGCAAATATACGCGTATCTGTAGCCATTGAATTTCTGGATTTCATTGAACACACTATCCGAACGGCTCTTCCATGTAACCAATTAGCTATGATGTCATAGTTATGGCATGGTTTTAACTAGCTGGTTAACTATATTTGCTAACAATCGATATCTCCATAATGTCCTGCTTCCTTTCTTACCGGGATGATGCGATCAGATGAAAGCTGAAAGTGTTTGATTATCATTCCCATATCACAAGCAGCTCTCCCGCTGCCGCGATTGCAGATTTCCTTTCAGCTCGATTCCGATCTCCCGTCTCAGGATGGATGTATGTTGGCATTTTATTAACTGATCAAAAAACCAAAATGGACATAACTGACATACATTTTTATTTATCGGCAGGTTTTCTATACATATATATACGCCACGGGCGCATGGTTAAGTCTACAGGGCATTCCGCTCTTCGCGACGCCCAAGATGATCGTTATGATCCTGCTGGACGAAGCGCGAACTCCCTCAGGTAAGCCTGACGCTATATACTCCGCGCAAGGTTCAAAAAAATGGTGTGGAATAGAGGAGGGGAGAAATGCTAGGAAATCTAACCATTAAACAGTACTGGAAATGTACTTTGCCCGCTGTTTCGGCCTGAGTCTCCTCACCATCGGCGCCATCACTTTCATCCTCACAGGCTCAATACCCCTCTCATCATCCTACTCCATGACAACAGATGAATCCGATCCCAAAGCCCCGTACGCCATGCCTACAGTCCTCATGACATCTATCTTCCACGCCTCATCTGCCTTCTATACTTATGCCTGGTACTATACGACGGGGCAAGCGAGTTTTGCGTTGGCTATGACAGTGTATGGCGGGTTGGCGGCGGTGGGTCTTTGGTGTTTGCTGTTTGCTAATAGTGCGGGAAGAATAAGTAGCAGGACTGGGGCGGATAAGAGGATGTCTGGGTTTCCATTTAAGAATGCTGAGGCGGATAAGAAAGGGGGGTGGAAGAAGAGATTGTAAACCCACTGGTTAGTTGCGGGAGAGTAATAGGTGGATATGCATACATATCTATCAGTCATATATGTAAGCCATCTATGATTTAAGGGAGATACTGGATTATTTGGGACTAAATATCCCATGGCCGCAGAAGCCGTGAAAAGATGTGTGTGGTGGGGGGAGGGGGAGGAGGGGGGGGCGCCCACAATATTATGCGCCCAGAGGTCATAGAATTTTTACAGTGATTTTACAATGAGACTACCAGTTTCTCATGCTCAGCATGTATCGATCCATCAAATTCTAGGGGCTTTCGGTACAAACCGTTCTGGGATACTTCAACTGGGGGTCGTCGGGCATCATTCGCTAATCGGGAATGAAAAAGATCACGTCCTTCCGTGTCCAGGAGCCGTTTATGCAAGAAGAAGGTCAAAGCATCAGAGGTCATCTGCACTAAAGCAAGCCCTTTCTTGTGCCCCATCCGATTAATAGCTTGTTGAGGAACAATGCTGTCGAGGCTTGCCTTTATTGTTGGGGTGCTTTGGAGATGGCATTCCCTTGGGATAAGAAGGAATTTCAACCACGATATTTGCTGACCGGGATGTTGGTCTGCTCGTAAAATCCATCTGGTTATTTAGAATGTCGTCGCTGTGCGCTGTTAAACGCTGTGAGGCCCGCGGTAAGAGAGGAGCCAATGAGACTAGCAGAGCTCTCAGTCCCCTTCGTTATGCTGTGTTATCTTGCACTGCCACCGCTCGTGGTTAAGGAATAATTATCCCGTCCCTGAAGTCGGGTTCCATCTTTAGCTGTTTCTGAGCCTCCGTTCGACAAATAGGGGGCATATGACATGATCCGCAAAGGCTTTAGGGTGATGGCCAGAACTTGTCCGACTGCAGCATATGCAATCTATTGGGATGATATGTTCGGGCGGCATACTATGCCGTCTCTTCTACATCATGATTTCACAAATGTTAGAATACAAAAGTTGGATCCTCCAAAATAAGGAAAAGGTGAAGGCTTCCTCCTCAGTAAACGCATAATTATCCATACCCAGTACCAGTCAATGCAGGCGAAGTTCGAACAGTTCAGTAATTACCGCAGCCATTTTCACTTGCAGTGAGCTAATTGATCAAAGACCCATGTCCTGCAAAGTGTAGTGAGGTATAAAGTTGATGAAATAAAAGGCCACCTGAAGAAAGGAGCCTGTCGTAGAAGTTGATGTGGATTGTTGGAGCTGTGGAGCTGTGGAGTTGTGGAGATGTGGAGATGTGGAGATTGCTGTGAGTGTAACTAGCAGTTGTTGATACTGAAGTTGTTTGCAGGGGCCTCGTTCTGCCCTAAACATCCGCCCTAGTTCAACCATCCCGTGCCGCTTCAACACTCTGCGGCACCGAGCTAAATCCATATCATCATAATACCCCCAAGTGCCCCAACTAAACCTACGCGGCCTGCCTTATTGCAGCGCAGAACAACTCCCTGGAAGGTTGGGGAACGCGCCATGGAGAACCCCGAGGCACAGCTGCAACACAGCTTGCGCAGTCTCGCCGCCACCGAAGACATACGGTCCCTTCCAACAGACCCCAGTTTAACCTCAAGAATCAGCGCCCACTTCGAAGCAGCAGCAGCAGCTGCTGCTGCCACGGGCGGACCCCAGCCCTTTGCAGTGCTGCAGGCGACGACAACAGGAACTACAGCAGCGGGAACTCATTTGCAACATTCCCCGCATGCTGGTGAGGTCTTCACTTCTATCTCCACCTTTTTTCGCGCATACATACGCAGATACCTTGTTACAGTAGTTAAATTGCAGCTACAACCACTGCAAATATAACCTTCATAAAATTTTCAGAAGTTCCTACTGTTGCCCTTGCACAAGCATCCGTCTAACAATCCATTTCTTTTACAGAGCGGCTCATCGACAACTCAGTTAACCCTCCATCACTACCGCCGCACCAACAACAGTTATCGCACGCACATCACCAGCATCAATTCCACACGCCAAACAATAATGGTTTTCTCGATCACAGAAATAATGGCCAGGTCGATATGCTGCAGCAGCTGCAGACTCCTCTCCCGGCGCATCTCCTGAACCAATTCCACAGCACCTCGCCTAATATCGAAGCTGCCAATCACTCAGACCAATCGCCTTCGCCTGCTTCCGCCCATAACAGAGGAGAGGGCCACTTTAAAAATATGAAATTGATACCAAATCCTCCCGATCTAAAGAGATGGAGGGAGCGATTATTTAACGTGGATGATGATCCAATTGTGATGAGCGAAGAAGAGTGCGTTGCGGAAACCTCGCGTACATTACGGATTGCATGACCAACAATTCCACTTATCAAGTCGCTAACACGTTCATATACATAAAAATACAGATTCCAAACTTACTTCCCCCATGTTGACAACGTCTATTCCCACCGCTCCACCCAGAAATACAAACGCAAGCTCTTCGTCTCGCACTACTGGGACTGTCGCCTCAAGGGCCGCCCACCAGGAACCCCAAAATCCCGTGATCCAAACAAGAAGAAGCGCAAACGCACAGCCCGCGAGCGCGATTTATGTGACGTCAAAATCAAGATTACAGAGTATTTCCCCGGAGCCCTGGCTGTGCCTCCAAACCTGCTGGGTCTGGATGCCATGTCCTCCTTGGAGCAAAATATGCAAAATGCTGCCGCTGCCGTTGCTACTGGTACCGATTTCCTCGACCCCGTTGTTGCTGGCCAGAATGAACTATCGCGTGTTGCCAATAGTAATAATCCACAGCCACAAGCAGAGCCTCACTATCAGTTTGGCGTCCTGACGTTGCGGAAGACGCTACCTCAGGGCCACCCTGGCTATACCGGTGAGAAGTACTATACAATCCAGAGGGTTAATGGGAATGGGGGGAATGGGAGGGCAGACGGCATTGGTGGGCCCCATAGGCATACACTGGAGGAAAGCGACAGGGTTAAGAAGAATAGCGTGCAGCGTCATATGCTTAAGGTGGAGAAGGAGAGGAGGAAAACTATGGTAAGTGACGACCTTGGTTGGTTGGTTTTTGATGTTTGATGTGTGAATCTTCTCCCAAAGTCTTCATGCAGAAGATTGTAGCGTGCATTGTGAAGCTATCAAGTTGGTGATGCACGTCATTGCTTTATCCTGCTTTCAAAAAGATTCCAAAAAAAAAAAAACTTCACTCCCATATTTTCTCCGCGGTTTTATCATGCGAATATCTACGTTTGTCTACCCATCGCCCATCTTCAAAAAACCTTCATCGTTCTCGTTTTCCTTCCATCAAAATGAAAAACATCATGTCTGACGCCGACGATCAAAAGGCCCACCAGAAAACCTATCACAAAAAGGCCTCTGGCCTTGCCGCCACAACTGTCAAAAAGCACGCTAAGGAAGCAGATTTGAAGCTCTTTGGGAGTTGTTTCTGGTAAATATATCCCTTTTTTTGATCAATAATTTCGTTAACTTTTCCTGCCGATCATATCCACCTTAAACTGGCAAACGAGATGTATAAGTTCGAGCTAATTCCGCGTGTGTTGTTTGCCAGTCCGTTCGTCCAGCGTGTTTGGATAGCGTTGGAGGTCAAGGGGATCCCATACCAGTATATCGAGATTGATCCGTACAAGAAGCCCGATTCGTTACTGGAAATGAATCCACGTGGTTTGGTGCCTGCCATCCGGCATGGGAACTGGGAATGCTATGAGAGCACAGTTTTGCTGGAATATGTATGTTCTTTTTCTGCCAATTTTCCACATCAGTGTTTCACATTATATGTGCACTTTATTTCAACATATGAATATCCCTTTTACTAAACCGTCATTCATTTTGCCCTTCGAAGCTCGATGACCTTGATACCGGTAATCTTCTACTCCCGTCGAGAGATCCTCAACTACGCGCTCATTGCCGTTTATGGGCAGATCACGTTAGTATACACCCATCCAAAATCCAAAATCCTGGCCTCTTATCATATCCTAGCTGGACCGCACCACCACTCAAAGGACTATCGCAGCCTAATGATTTCCCCAATAGATAAACCGCCACATAATCCCCACCTTCTACCGCCTCCTGCAAGAGCAGGACCTGCAAAAGCAAATCCAGCACTCAGAAGAGTTGAAGGAAGAAATTAGCAAGCTTGTTAATGCCTCGCACATGCACGGGCCGTTCTTCCTCGGCCCGACAATCTCCTTTGTAGATATCCAATTTGCGCCCTGGATACTACGGCTCAGCCGCGTGCTGAAACCGTATCGGGGCTGGCCGGATCCTGAGAAAGGGAGTCGCTGGGCTGCATGGGTGGATGCTATCGAGGCTGATGAACGTGTCAGGGCCACGACGAGCGCGGATGACCTGTATTTGGATAGTTATGAGAGGTATGCTGGTAAGTAATTGAGACATTCCCAAACCCCACACCCTCCTTTGATTTTGGGCATTTTCTCGCTCTCAATGTCGGATTCGGGTCCCGAAGGACTGATTGACTGATGATCTGATTGATTGGGTTTGAGTAGAAAATCGGCCTAATACGTCACTTTTGGCAAGTGCCATCAATTCCGGGCGCGGGCTGCCTTAGATTGGTATAATGTGGTGTATTCTTTATGTTGGTGGCAGCAATGGCACGGACAAGGCGTGGTAGTTATCAAATGAATGCTTCTCCAACTGTTGGATGTTTAGATTTCCAAGATCAAGAACAAGCACTAGCGTACATTTCCTGGCTTTTGTTCTGGACTGTAGGATTAGCTTTCCGTTCTGTCTTATTCTTCTTTCAGTGTGGGCGGCAGCTTTTGTCAAGTTTTTTTTTTTTTTTAATTTCGAATTTTGGCGTAATTGGATTGGCAACCACCACTCAATCGAGATAACTTGAGCGAAGTTTGATCTGTCCCATGTTCAAGAGGTTCTCGCCCCCCGCGGGCTAAATCCAAAACCACCTCTTCCACTCCCATCAGGGCCCTTTGGAGTCCTCACCGGTATCTGCTGCTGTTGCTGTGGTTGCTGAAGCTCCTGCACCTCTTGCATCCGCCCGCTCTCATACACATTATTCGATAAGTTCTGCCTCCGCTCTCCCCTCTGCCCATATCCAGAACCCGGCCGCCCCGGATAATTAGGATCATACAACTGTCTATTCGACTTGTTATTGTTGCCTGCTATCTCCTTCCTCTCCCTACTGCTCGCGTTCGGCCTATTACCCTTGCCCTTGCCCCTGGCACAATGGCCATGTCCATAGCCCTGTCGTGATTGCGATGGCGGTGGCGTCGTGCTCGTGCTCCCAGGAGACGAGGCAGCCGACCCAGCTGCCGCCGCCGCCGAGGGACTCCCAAATAGCCGCTCCCGCACCTCCTCGTACTTGCGCTGCCTCTCCTCGCGCTCCCGCTCACGCTGCGCCTGCAATTCCTCCCGCGACATTTTTGGCCTTTCGTCCCCTTCGTCATCATCGTCACCATTGTCGTCGTCATCATTTACTAAAATATCTGGAGGAGGTGTCGCAATTGTGGCTGTACGAGTGGCTGGTGACCCAGTGCGAGAGATAGAGAGTTGCTGCATATTTGCCGTTGTTGCGTCCAGGGGGTTGGAGGTGGAGGAGGAAGGGGAGGGAGATGGATGGTTCGATGGCGATTGCGATTGCGATTGCTGCTGCTTAGCCGTTTGAGGTTTGCGGCTTAGGACCATGACTGGAGATTTAAAGTCCGATTTTAGGGGCACGGAGGCGGCCCGTGATTCGAGGTAGTGAAAGGCTTGTGGGGATTCTCTGTTAAAACCTGTAGTTTCAGTGACTCGGTTCTTGCTTTTTAGTTCATTTTTTGGAATGAAAGACGATATATAGATTGCCCCTGTTCTATGGGTTCGATTTTTCGCCTCCGAGACAGGTAGACGTACGCTTCAGCCCATAATTGGCGATTAAATTCCGCATGTTGCGCTCTTTTCTGTGCCTTTATTACTCGAGAAGACAGCTTTTTCTCAGGCGGTGCTGGCGGGCCTGCTTCTACTGATTTCAACTGTTGTTTTGTTGGCTCATTGTGCTGCACAAAAAGAATGAGCTGACGAGAGAAAATGTGAATATGGAAAAAAGAGTCATACGTCAACCTCAGCTTCCCAGTTATCGTCCCAGGCATCTGGGATACGGGAATTTGCTCTGCTCATGGCGGGAAGGGCTATTGTCAATCGAACTTGAGGCCAGAGAAACTAAAAAGATCAAACGAAATATAAGAGAATAGAAATAATAAGTGATCATTTATATTATTGTCCGGAGAGGTGCTCAAAGCATGCAGAATGAATGGGTTGTTGGTTGCTTGCGTAAGGGTTGGCTAAGTTCTTCGGTTGTGTGGGATATTAAAGCGTTCGAGGAAAATCAGTGAGCGCTTATTAGAGTTACAGTGCGGCTAATCATGCGCTTAAATTAGCCGCGGCCACCACCTCTTTAATCTGTACATCCAGCTTGATCGTCAACATTTGAATAAAAAAGATATTGAGAGCGGAGGTTCCGGTAGCGTATTGGTCTTCAATCTGAACTTCAGGTGCATTTCCATAAGTTTTTTTTTTTTCGCAAACGTCTGAGCGGTTCGCCACGGCCTACATCACGTGATATTTAGACGAAGCGAGACAGCAAAAGTGAGCTTCATATCACATCCAACAAGTAACGGACGACCCATCGGATTAATCCTGCATTTTCTCTTACCTGTCTTGTTTCAAATGCGAATTTAGCAACCTGAGACTGATCAAAAATTCGCATTCAGCATGTCCGCAGGTGCGAGGTTGATTCCCAGATTCCGAGATTCTCTTCCCCACATATACTCGCCCCGCTCTGGCAGCCAGACGCTTTTTATCCGAGTTATAGCTCGAATCCAAACTGACAACTGACATGACCCTTTTTTTAGATCAAGACGGTGACTCCGAGATGCTCTCCTCTTCTGGGTCCTCTCAAAGCAGTCCCCAAACCCCCACGGCCTTCCCAACCCTTGGTCATTCTGCCAACTTCCCTGGCTCAGAACTGTCTCCGCCAGGTTCGCAGGACGCCATAGGGGCTGAATCTTCGAAGATGGCATATGACGATTCACATCTCAAATACGTAGCAGGGGCATCTTCACAACAACCGGGCGGTGATAGCTCTGGTGGTGTTGGTGGTGGTGAAAAGTGGGAGGATCAGAGCGCTGCGATTTCTCAAACGGAGCCTGGGGCGTCATGGAACAATAAGAAAGCGGAGGAGGAATATCAAAGGGCTATGGAACTTGTGGTGGACCAAGATTTTAGCTTAAGTGAGAGAATACCCCTATTCGGCCCTTGAGCGTGTCTTTTCGTGTTCGTCTACGGGAGCACTGATGGTTGTACGTCATATAGAGGAGTTTGGAGATCCATTTGACGACAAGGATATGACGGAAGGATAGGTGCTATGGATAACATGAAACCATATAACATGCTATTGGTAAGTGTTTTTCTTCTTCTTCTTCTTCTTCTTCTTCTTTTTATTCCGTCAATTGCGGTACTGCTTGCGATCGTTCATTGTTTAAGCGGGCTCCTTCTAGCTTTAATACCTGCACTATTCTTTGATTCATGATGTACGCAAAAACTCATACCACTTCGCGTGTTTTCAGAATGCCTCGACGAATAATGACATCCCTTATGGGAAAAAAGAAAGAAAAAAACCGGCGCTGAGGCTCCCAAAGCCCGGAGAGTCGATATTTAAACCTAGATTAAATATGACCGGACTATGGAGTAGGGGACACATACTACAACATTTCAGTTCATTGTCAGTGCTAACTTTGTATTTTCTTCACCGACTTGTGGTTATCAATGAGTTGTATAGAAGGGCAAGGTCAACACTGATGGATACTGAACATAACAGCTCATTAATTCTGCTGGTTCAGAGAGGTGACATACCAGTTCTGTCAACCAGTCTAATTGAGCCCTATATGGAATTAATAAGGACAGCCAATATGTTTAAAATTGCTAACAGCATAAATAATCCCAAATCCAACACCCATGGATCCTCTCAATTCCCCAGAATTCCCCAGTGCCATACAACCTTTTTATTTTCCGGAGGTGGTTGACCCAGCAACCAGCTGCTTAGCTCAGCGGCAGCACGCGATTGGCGCGTTGCAAACGCCGAAGACAACCTTCAACTTCAACGTAAAATATAGAATTATTTGACGCTCCGGGCACCCCAGAGCATCCTCTTATCCATGCCCCTCTTAATGTTTATATTGGTTACCCCGCGCAATATCAGTATTGTCAATCTTTGAAGTTCTCTCCTACATTTTTGGACGCCTGCACACATTCATTCCGCCGCACCGACAGCTGCGGAAACCACGTGCAGGTGATCCAATCCAACCGCCACTCGAATTTTTCACCTCGCGAGCTACGTTGCGCTCTCACGTTTTGCGATATGGAATGCTCTTATCCACTTTCTCCAAAACGGTATGCAATAATTTATGTCATACCTGAGTTTATGATGTCTACATTCTAAATTCTTTTGCCTTGAACGACCAATCTCTACACGTGCCAGATTGCCAGATTGCCGTATTGTTTACATATCCTCAAGCTCCATCTCAAAAGGCACAGAACTGACTTACAACCCTATTCACTTCATAAATCTAGGAGGAGAAGTCGGCTCTCATCGTCTACAGACGGCTTCAAGTTTACCCCAGTCGCAATGTCGAAGAGAGCACCCCGACACTGGGATCGCAGACCCATGACCCCATTTAACTCCCGTTCTAAGTCGCGCAAGGTCTGGAAGCGGTTTCTGGCTTCCGCATCCAAGGATATTGTCGGAGATGACATCGACCGTGATCCTTTGCTTACCGAAATCAACAGTTCGTTTGCGTATCGTGGTGTTTTGCGAGGTGTCAAACGACAGTGCACTGCGACTTATGTGGGAGTCGGACGGGCACGATCCTTTCTGGAAACAAAATGGGAAACAGAGGATATGGGGGTCCGCAAACGTGAGATTTACCGACTTTCATTGTTATTACTTTGTTGTTATGGGTTGTCGGCTCTTTGGAGCAGCAAATTGCTAACGTAAATGCAGGGAAACATGCTCAACAAAGGGCGGTTTGCATATCAGAAAGTTTCGCAAATGCCGATACCGTCGCCGATGCTGATGATAGCAAACCGAATGAGGACGTGGAAAGACAGCAGAGTGCCGAAAATAACAATTCAATAGACCAAAATACACCTTGCTTGCATTCTTCACCTGCCCAGGATGATAATACGGTCCCTTCAACCCTTAATCTTCCACAAGCCCTGAGGAAAACCGTAGAAGAAGAGGCTAGCCCCGTTGCTGGTGACACGCTGCTTCCATTCAAAGCCTCCGAAGATGCTTCCGGGGTCTCCGAAGATGCTGCGAACCTAGAAGTTATTCCTTCCGCTATCGAAGAATCTCCCGAACCAGAACAAGGAGAGGTCACGTTTGGTGCACAAGTTGCACGGGCCACATCCCCGTTACGTGATATGGAAGACACGCCATCTACTACAACAACGATTAAGAACGTGGTTGAAGAAACAGCAACACCACTGACAATACCCCCGAGCAGACGACTGTTCCCAAGACTAGAAGGTGACGACGAGGAATTCTTAAGTGACTTCCTGTCCCAAGCACAAGCCAAGCGATCCGCCGCTAAATCTGCGGTGCTGAGCAAGGAATTGGGGGATTCCAGCGTGGAGCATCCGGTCCGATCTCCAACCCCACGAACACGCGAGGTTCTGAAAGTCTTGGATAAAATTTCACCTTCGTCCCCAAGTGAACAAAAAAATCAACTAAAAGCAACCTTTTCATTACCCGCTCCCAACTTCTCTCTCTCTATTGATCCCGAGCAGAGCGGCGCAGAGCAAGAGGAACAAGAGCAAGAGAAGAGTAAGACGGCCGAAGAAGGTCAACAGCAATCAAGGGTAGCTACTCCATGGCGCAGGAGTACCCGCAAAACTATCACAAGAACGCAACGACATACACCTAGTGTGCCTAACCATATCCCTGTTCGCCGGTCTAACGGAACCGAGTTCGTATTTCTACAACGTTCAGAGGAACAACAGCTATCCCTGACAACTAAGGCCAACACCAGACGTAATAGGGGCGACGCCCAGCTTCCCCATTTAGTGCTTCAAGCGATCAATGCACAAGAATATGTCCATTCTTGTAGTAGCAATGGAGAAGTTGATGACCCTGTTTCACCAAGGAAATCGTCCAAGAAACGGATACGGCTTGTCAAGACGGTTACATGGGACGAGAAAAATCTTGTTCAGTACGAAGGGAAGACATACAATAATGAAGAACAAAATGTGGAAATTCGTCGGGAGAGCCCTCCGCCTCAATCTACCATCTACCAGTCAACCAGAAAGGAGAGTAACAAGAAACAGGACACCGGGAATACCAGCAAGAGTAGCAGAAAAAGCAAATCCAACAAGCAAGCTGACTCGACCCACCACCACTCTCAGCCTCCGAAATCACCAACTGTGACCAGAAAAGTGTCAAAGCTTGGTGCTGCCTCTGGTAACAGTTTCACCTCTGTCTTAACAACCACCGCTATGAGTGATACTGCAACAACTACTGCTGCTGCTGCTGCAAAAATAAAATCGACTAGAAAAATTGCCTCTACGCATCCTGGAACGCCGATTCAGAGAAAAAAGCTTACTCCGAAATCTCCAACAACCATTACATTTAAAGTTTCGGAGAACGCAGCACCGAATATCAGCACTGCCACTACTACACGTTCCACGGCTAAAAAATTCAGTGGCTCGTGTTTGCCAAGGCACATGGGAAGAACTAGGGTGTAAAGGATAAGTTTGTGTAAAATGTACGTACCATTCGCTAGTTACATTTGGGGTGAAGGTTTCGTGTTTGTTGTGGGTTAATTGGTTTTTTATTTTTCTTTCCAAACATGGACAAGAGAAGACACTATATTTTGAAGCGTTTTTTTTTTCTTTTCGTCAATCTCTTTGATTCAGGTGTTGTCCAGTTTATTGATTATTAATTCAGTGAGTTTTGATAGAGTATACTCTCGTGATAACTTCGGTTCTTTTACTCTTCTTTAAATATACATTCCATGAGGGTGCGCAAGTTTCTACGTCGAACACCAAAAACGCTCGAGTGACATGACAAAACTAACCTCCAACCCTATGAAAGCTTGCTCCGAACATTTGAGTTCCTTACCGCATAGTAAAAGAACATAACCCAGATTAGACTTTAAGCAGTAACAAAATATATCAATAAACCGGCTTCACCAGCCCGCGCCCAAAATAATTCGGGATCAAAACCGCTCTAACGATGCCTTTCCATTACCCAGAAGCTCCCTCACTCTCTTCAGGCCACACATCATACCCAAAGGTATCCTTCTTATTCACAAAACAAACCGCACATGTCTCCCCCTCAGCCACCTTATTTACCGCCTCAAACTGCTCATCCGTCAACTTCATCTCCTGGAAATCACTCTCAATACAACGTAACCTCTCCGTACACCCCAGGCAATACGCACTTGAGCAAGCGTGTAGCCCGCCTCCTTCGCAATGGCATGGAGCGTCGGGTCCGTAGCAACCTTCTCGCCGGTCGTGGGCACCTGATTCTCCGAGCCGAGGGGTGAATAGGCTTCGGGAAGGACGGTGTGTTTGAAGCAGTAATTGATGAGCTCCGTGCTGGGTAGGAACAGGTGGTTTTCGACCTGATTGATGTGCGGGTGGATCTCGGCGAAGGAGAGGATCTGCTCTATGCTGCAGGTTGTGAAGTTGGGGAGACATCAGTTATGCCTTGGTACAACTGCATCCTCCAACTGGAGTGCCCAAGGACCCCCCCCCCCCCCTCCCCCAATTTCCACATTTCCACATTTCTGCATCTTCACTGGGCCTTTGAGTGCCACGGAATGGTCCCTTAATGGCACCACTAATCAACGCTACGATACGACCCGGAAGAAGCGGAGACTGATGGCAGGACTGGGCTCCTGGAGCTCCTTTCATCGCCGCCACTCTGACGTTGGGACATCCCAGTGATTGCTGTGGCTAATCTGTTGGTATGCCGAGCGCTACTCTGATTGTTACAGATTGATTTGAGGCCGCGGCGCCTTAGAAATCTCATATTGGCCCCTTTCTACCAATTGGCCCGTTATGCGACCATGTGAATTCAATGGTGCAGTTACGCCAGATCAATGATCGTGGAAACATTCCGAGGTTTATTACTCCGTTTTTAGTCCATTTTTCAAAATATTAAGAAGGGTATCCCTTTGGCTTCCTCCAGTGATGTCCATTTCATTTGCTCATTCCGCCTTCGAGGGCTCTGGGATCCGATGCTCCTGGTGCCCTGAGAGACATCCTCGCTTCCCAAGTTCAGGAATTGGCCAAGAAGCAAGTCAAAGAGGCCAAGAACATGGATTTCGCATTCGACATCGATGGTGTACTTCTCCACGGCGATCAAATCATCCCTGAGTCTCGTCGAGTGATGGAGCTCCTCTGGGGATAATGAACTCGGAATCAAAATTCCTTATATCCTCCTTACCAACGGCGGTGGCAAGACAGAGGTGGACCGCGTAGAGCAAATATACAATATCCTAGGCTCTCATCTCCAACCTCCACCTCCGAATTTATCCAATGTCCTATCCCCATGCAGGCACTGGCGGAAATTACGAGACCGTCTTGGTTGATGTTGGTGGTGAGGGTTTCAAGGCACATGCCGCCGCAGAGGTCTACGGATTCAAAAACGTCGTCGTCCCCAAGGACATCGTCGCCTGGGACCCCAGCATTCAGAAACTTCAGTGAAGAGGACCACAACCAAGCGAAACCTCAGGATCCCGATAGAATAAACTTCGACGCCATTCTCGTCCTTCAACGACTCGCGTGCTTCCGCTACCGATCTCCAGGCCATCAATGACCTTCTCTTGAGTGAGAATGGCCGGCTAGGCACTAATGCCCAGGATCCCCTTTCCAAGCATATGCCCATCTGCTTTTCTCAGGGCGATATAATCTTCCAGACCGAGCACAGGCTGCCCCGGATGACCCCGGGCCTCTTCCGCATTGCTCTCGAAGCTATGTACAAGTCTCTAACGGGAGTTGATCTCATGAAGTCGTGGATGAAAGAGATCCACAACGAATATACCGTTCCCGAAAACATCTCTACATGATTGGCGACGACCCGGTCTCTGACATTATTGGTGGGAACATGTATGGGTGGAACCCTTGCCTGGTTCCGAGCGGAAAACATTTTATTTATTTTGCATTGCATTCGTGCCATTAATAAGCCACTGAGTTGCAATTGTTAGGAAACAATTGGAGATACATCAACTTTCTGTCTTCAATGCCTTTGATTCAACTACTTTCCAATTTCTCCATGATAGAACTTTTGGAGTTATATAGGGTCAACTACTAGCTAATGCCTCCTTATCACAGGATGATATTCTTCTGCTCTCTCATTTGCTTTACGGTCCTCGAGCGAGTTGAATAACGTCTTGCCTTTAGGATAACTCTGATAGAATATTTAATTGCGACGAGAGTGCAGTTGAAATATTCTGTAGGATCGTAATCGTATGATATCCTCCGATGCTCTCAAACTCACCCCTTTACTCAAAATAATCGCGCCTCAAGAACCTTTCCTCCATACGAACACAGGGAGTGGAAAACAGGGTTTCCCGTCCAATCTGCCCTACTAAAGCCACTATGTAATTGCAGTGAATTCTTATTTAGCACTAAATTTGCTACTTCCCTAAGCACAATCGTCGCGCGACATTCGGGTGAGGGCAGATGAGTTGGGCGAGTTAGGAGGCACTTCTATGATGGTACACTTCACTCTATCGAAGAACCGCGTCCCAATTGTGCTTCTCGAAAGAGAAATCACGCTCTCGGCCCTAGTTCCAATGGCCTTTGAGCTTCTCGAGCCAGATCACGGTCTTCCCGGCCCGAACCAGAACAGACGGCAAGACGATTTCCGTTTCTTCCTCTATGTTTCAAGGGTCTATGGATTCCGAACGGGACTCGCGGCCCAAACGGTTAACGATGACAAGTGATCTATCTGCAGTAATGCACGACCTGGCAGGTGTCTCCCAAGAGCAGACTTTTAACGCTACGGAAGAGGAGATGCTCTCAGAACTTTTGAAATTAGCATACCTCTCCTCGGACGATAATTTAGGGAGCACAAGCGAAAGTCATTCCGATGCACCAGCCCCATTGTCGCCCTATTGTTTCCCACACATTGGCCCCTTTCTATTTTGAACCCAAGCAACCCACATCTTCCGTTGGAGGTGCCCTTTGGAAGAGCCCCGTTTTAGATGTGTAGTTGAGCACAGGGCAATACACGAGCCGGCCAATATTCAGGAGCAAAGAGATTTCTGCTGGGATTACAGGAAGGAAACTGTAAAGAACGATTGGGCTAAACGGCACCATCCTTTGATCGGCTGGGACCATCCCGTTGATAGTCTCTCTGAATTTCATCCTCATCTGCTTGACATTCTTGATCCTAAGCCCCTGGTGGGGATCAATGCCCTTGTTTCGAACTGTAGCCCAGCTACGTATGTCCATGAGATTCTCGTATCTGAACCTCTGGTTATGCTTGTCAAGAAAGGACATGAATATTGACGACGAACGCTCTCACCAAATTCTTGAGGAAAGGGATGAGATCGGGGAGTTGCTGTGCGGCTTCTAGACCATGGAGTTTCCCTTCAAAGTCGTTTTAAAAGCTCTCATTAGCTGCAGATATAGGTAGTTAAATCCAGGATATCCATGGCTTCCACCTTTCATACGCTGGATCCCCAGGCTAAACGGTTCCCTAGGCCAGAGAGAGGGTTCAAATAGTTCACAGGCCAGGATGAAGCGTTCCCAGTGCTAATAGGACAATCCTTAACGACAGTATCCAATGTCTAGTAATTTAACCTTCAGGTAGGTATAGTAAAAACATACAGAAAATTTGCAAAACATATTGGCATTAGGGCTTGTTGGAGATTTGGTAAGGGGACAGGAACTAATACTGTGCCTATCCCAAGATGACGTTTGCCGCTTCAGAAACAGCGCTTTCACTGCTTTAAAAAAAAAAAAATGGACATCACGTCGCTCTTAAACTCCCATGTCTTGAGACGACTCACACCGTGTGTCCTCGAACATAAAACACAGACAGCCCATAAGGGCAGAGCCCAATCACCCGATATCTAATGGCTCCACTCAAAAATCGACTCCGTGGGCTCTGGATGGAACGGCGCTGGAAAGCACTATCAGAGCCATATATGTAAGATCAAGCCCTCACACTGAAACATTTCACTCTGATAAAGTCAAACAGGGAAAAGACTTAGAATTAGAATTTTAGCATTAGAAAATTGAGCCTGTAGACGTATGCTAGACCTCGAGCCCTGATGCTGCTACTTACACATGGACCGTTGCGCAGCTACTTTAGCGACTATTTAAAGAACACCTAAGCAAGCGCTTCATAGAGGAGAAAAACGAGGAGCTGCGGAGGGCTGAGCCATAGTTTCAAGCACAGATCCTGCATCTTGAGTAGCAGGTAGAACGCTGGGCCGCGATGGGCCAGGTCATCTAAAACACTACATCAGATTGGTGCCATAGGGGCTGGTACAAGGCAACCAAGCAGCTTCTACATATAAAAAGCAGCGTTGTAGAACAGGCCGGGGTGCCACGGCATGCAATTTTCATAACATCTCTTCCGTTCCCTTCCTTTCATTCTCCTATTCACTTGCGAAGCATGGCCTCTTCTGTGACGACAAATACTTGGCCTCCTTAGCATCAGTAAATACTACGCTTTTCCCCGTGAGTGCTAGAGTTTCAAAAGAGAGGATGTGCCTGCGCCTGCCTGCGCCTACTCACTCTGTTGTGCAAGCACCCGAAAACGAGGTATGTATTTCCTTCATCATGAGCTCTACAACCTAGATGAAATAGCATGATGTGCGGCTGCTTTCCTCTCCGCGGCAGATCCTGGTGGCTTTGTCACTCTCTTTCGGAGACACATAGACTCTGATATGCTTCATGACCATTGATTTGGACGTCGTCTCCAGCGAGCGGATCGATGGACGGACAACGCCAAAACCTTTAAAAAGGATTAATGTCGCCTTTTATCAACTCTTTGGCTTACCAGCGGATGACTGAAAGTGGGTATATGACACATACCTCTATCCAATATTGATGACTCTGCTAGGGTTATATGCAGTACTTGGCTGCCACGATATCCTCCGAGCCCAGAAGGCCAAATGGATCTTATTGCAGTGACTTATGTGTCGCGAGGTATGTGAAGTGGAAAACATGCACTGGGAGAATTGCATTGCTATGATAGGGGCAAATTGAAGGCAAGTGAACTGAACTATTGGTAGTACCAGCAGCATATTAGGAATTGGCACGTAGCAACATATTTAATAGAAGATTTTCACACCCCCTTCCGGAATGGTAGAACTCTGGAGGGAGTGTAAGAGAGAGTCAATATCTGCATCTGGAACCGCGCTTTGTAAGTGCGCAAACAACATAAATATTTATCTATTGGGGAGAGTTGAGGGTCGTGATGGGTGGGAGCGAATAGCCGTGATTGCGGAACTGGAGCACTAGGTTTCTGGCCTTGGGATCTGACAGTTTGAATCGTGAACTGTCCAGGATGACGATTATTGGACGTAAAATTGGAAGTGTTAACATTTAACAAAATCCATCTCTTCTCCGTTTGGTAGGGCGAGGAGGCTTGGGGAAGCATTTCATACCATGTTCTGGTCTTCAGTCTTAGTTACGAGATGTAGACTTGGGACGGCCGAATCTGGCCAGATCCACGAATTGAAGCTCTAGTTATTTGGTGTATTTGGGGTGTGCATTTGGCTCCTCCCAGCTTTCTGATTATTCTACGACGACATCCGGTCAAATAGCTTGAATAACTGTCTTGCTAGTGAATGCCACTGCTGCAATGGCGAGAATAAGGAGTGTTGTTGAGAACAGGCCACTTTTTAATTCAATGCAGTCAAATGCCAGCTAACAAGGCTCAAATTAAGCTTGCAATTGAGGATTTAAGAGCTCAAAATATCAAGAATTATACTGCTACTGCTAAAAAAAATATTCAATAGCAAGGAAATGTTGCACTGGTGTTATAACAGTGTTCAAATTTCCTGCAATTAAGCCATCTTCAGACATAAGAAGAAGCTTATAAATCCTCAAGAAGAACAGCTACTGCTTTATAGAGAGAAGCTTGCTGTCCATGATTTTGCTCCTATATCATAGATTATTCAAAATCTTGTTAAAGAGATTACTAAAGAGGCTTTAAGAGTCAACTAAGTGATATACTTTACAATTTGACATTAGAATTGAATCAAATCTATTTAAGTTTATGAAATTGATAAAATGCAAAAGATTGCAAATAATTTGCTTATTTTAAGCACTATTTTTATCTTGTAATTTGAGATTTAATTTGCTTTTAGTGTTTTATTTTACCTATAAATCTTTGCTAATTATTATTTACTTAATCATTATTAAATAATAAAATGAAAAAATATATATAATTGAAAGATTTGAATAATAATAATTTAATACATTATATAATTTTTGATAATAGTTAAAATAATAATAATTATAATTTTGATTGACTAAAGTATATATTTAATAAATATATTAAAAATAAAGCTAATTGTAGAAAATATTTTCTTATTTTAAATAATTATTTTTTTTTATATAAATTTGAAATTTATTAAAATTATAGATAAAAATTAATTCTATTAATAATTTTATTTTAATATTTTATTTATTATTATAGTCTTTAAATGTTAAAATATTTAATTTTTTAACTAATATATATTTTTATTAAATTAATAAACTATTTTAAAAATAAATTTAAATTATTCAAATAATAAAATAACTTTTTTTTAACTTTTAAATCTATATAATAATGTTAGAAAGTAAATGTGAGCTGTATAAGAAGAAACTCTTTATATTGCTAACTGCTATATATAATAAAATACTAGTAAGTTTAATAAGATGAAAGAGAGTACTGAGATCTATCTGAAATATAACAACTTATATGATTATATGATAAGAATTAGATCTAATCAGATGCTGAGTTTAATCTAATATTAAATCTAATCAGATGCTGAGTTTACTCTAACATGGAGTCTAATAAGACATCAAGTCTAATCAGACACTGAGCCTCAGTCAGACTCAATTGAGCACTAAGTCTAACATCACCTCTCAGTCTAGAATCAGACATGTTCTCATATTAATAAATCATCATTAATTTTGCTCTTCAGATAATTATTTATCTTTCATGTCTTCAGCTATTGATTTAATTATCTTAAAAGTTTAATTTTTATAGAATTAATCTCATAGAAGTCACATATAATATATAATAATTTATTGAAATTATGAGTTAAATATTAAGATAAATTCTCATTAAATTTCTTTTAACAGACTTGATATTGCAATTTATCTTGATTTATTTAACTAATTAATATATACTTCATCTTTTATTTATTTTTTTTATCTATTTTAATTGAGTCTAATGATTTGACATTCTGTCTAAGTAAGGAATATTTTAAGTTTTTATACAATTTGTCTAAAAAGAAGTTTGAGTGAATCTTTATAATTGTAAGAAAATTCAATCTGTAGATATTGCTTATCTTCTTTAGAATTTTAAAAAATATCTATGTTCTATGCTGTCAGCTTACAGCTTAATCAATTTATTCTATATAATTTTAATAGCAAATAGATAAAATTTTCTACTATAAAGTCAGGTTCTCAGTAATATTTATCAGTTTATTTCTTTATCTGTTCTTGTGCTATACTCACACTTTTGTTTATCTGCTTTTGGTTTTTTTTTATTTAGTTAATAAAGCTCTAAGCAGCTTTTTAATTTATTTATTTTTTATATTTAGTTCTTCTGACAGAGATATTTTGTCAAATGATGTTCATGACTTATATTTATTTATGATTAAAAAGAAAAAAAATTAATAAAAATATTTAAAATAACTATCAAAGTATAATTTATAAGTAATTACTTATTTTAATTATTTTTGATAATAATTAATATATAGATAAAGACAAACAATAATATATTAATTCATTATCTCAATCTATTTATCTATATATATATAATATACTATTAAAAGTTTTAACTTTATGTTTAGAATTTTTGTAAATTTATTTTAAAAGCTTAATATAAACTGAAAGTTATAATTAGAGATAATTAAATCTGATACTTTATTATAAAAATAATAGAATTAAATAAATAATTAAATTAACTTATAAGCTATAACTTTATAAGTAATTAAAATTGAAATTATTCTTTTACTTAACTGACAGACTATAACTAGAATAATATTACAGTTATTTTTACTTTTTGATATATTTATAAAGTTCATTGCAATATATTATCATATTTATTTTGATATTGAGAGTGACTTTAACAGATCAAAGATTTTATTTCTTGAAATCTTACTAATTTAATATATATAATAGTCTTAAATATAGTATAAAACATCTATCTATCAGATGATTTATTAATAATATAAATATATCAAAGTTAAAGTATTTTATTTATTTATATATATAGTTAAAACTTGATTATAAATTTTTTATAGCAGTATAGTTATGAAAGTTTTTTT